CATTTAACCAGTCTCCTGGTAGTGGATATGTAGATTGTGTTCAGTCATTTGCTGCTGGTGAAAGTGCTATAGTGAATAACCTTGTATGTAGGTCATTTTGCCTTTTACTGTATTCCTAGAAGTAGAATCCTTAGGCTAAAGGATATATCTTTTTTTTCCTTTCTTTCTTACCACCAAGTTGAAATTTTTTATTTGCTAATGTACAACTAGAAATAACAGTCCACTTTCTATGGTTTCTGTACACTTACCACTGATGATTTCTATAAGATGATGTTGTCCTTCATAGTCCTGGTGCCTGATCATCTGTGAGAACCCAATTTGCCTTCCTTTCTACCCACTAAATTAATTTATCTTTTCAGAAGTCTTGTTGGATGTTTTCTTGGTTGGCCTCTCCATATTGCTACTTTATTTGAAAGACTTCATTTTCTAATTGCACAATAGTCCTTTCAGTGTCACAAATTCTTACTGATCAGGGCTGTGCAATTTGACTTCCTTTCTCTTCATTTAGATCCACTGTGAGTTGCATGTTCTTTCACTGCCATTTTAAATCTTGAATATGTTTCCTTAACTTCTGGAATTCTTTCTGTGCATGTTCAATTATGTGAAATAGATTTTCATTATATGCTTTCCAGGCATTGCATCCATGCCATGACATGAGTTCCAGATTCTCATTTGGAACCGTCTGATGCTATAGCTAGGCCACAGAAATGTTTACACATTCTCACCATGCAGTAATGTCATTTTTCTGACCTGAGGAAGGGGCTGGAAGTTCATATTGTTTTATACTGAGCAATTAAATTGGTTGTCGAGCAGCTAGTCTTTCAAATTCATTTCTCATTATGTCTGTTTCAAAAGCAGAATAATTTGGGGCTGTCAGATGGCTTCGGTAGTTCTTAGAAGGTTGGTGTCTACAAAGTTTCCCTCTCCACTAGTGTTATAGCTACTTCCTGCACATCAGGTGCTTCATAACTTTGGTCTAAGTATAACAACCATCCACTATAACCTTTCTAACCACCAAATCCGTGCCATTCTTAGGTTCACCTCAGTTTTCTCAAGAGTATGTGCCTTTCAGTATTTTTTTAAAAGATTTTATTTATTTAGGCTTAGATAGAGGGGTAGGGAGGAAGAAAGAGAGGGAGAGAAACATTGACCTGTGAGAGAACTATCCATCAGTTGCCTCTCTTGTGTGCGCCTGGCCGGCAACTCAAGCATGTGCCCTGACTGGGAATTGAACTGGCAACCCTTTGCTTTGTGGAAGGACGCCCAACCAACTGAGCCACACTGATCAGGGGTGTGCTTTTGAATTTTGATGGCTGTTGCTAAATTGCCTTCCAGGAAGTTATGCCTGTTTACACCCTCACTAATGTGTAAGAGTATCTAATTCTTTTTGTTTTTCTAAGATTTTATTTATTTATTTTTAGAGAGGGAAGGGAGGGAGAAAGAGAGAGAGAGAGAAACATCAATGTGCGGTTGCTGGTGGTCATGGCCTGCAACCCAGGCATGTACCCTGACTGGGAATCAAACCTGCGACACTTTGGTTCGCAGCCCATGCTCAATCCACTGAGCTATGCCAGCCAGGGCTCTAATTCTTTATACCATTGCCAGTATAGGGTGTTACTAAACTTTAAACTATCGTCTATAATAATAGGTGAAAAGTCACATTTCTCTTACCATTAAAGATGTTTATAAGAGTCATTAAATTATTTTTCTGTGAACTTTTACTATTTTTTCCCATTTCCCATTTTCCTCAGATTTTTAGTCTTATCCTGTGGATTTGTAGGAGCTCTGTATTTATTAAGAAAACTGATAGCAAATACATAGTGCAATATACAGATGATGTATGATAGAATTATACTCTTGAAACTTATATAATGTATCAACCAATGTTACCCCAATAAATTTAATAAAAAAAGAAAATTAGTCCTTTGTATGTAATGTGAGTTAAAAATATTTTTTCATAGTTTGTCTTTTGACTTTTTTTTAAAAAGATTTTATTTACTTATTTTAAGAGAAGGGAAAGGAGGGAAAAAGAGAGGGAGGGAAACATCAATGTGTGGTTGCCTCTGGAGCACCCCCTACAGGGGATCTGGTCAGGGCACAACCCAGGCATGTGCCCTGACTGGGAATCTAACCATTGGCCCTTTGGTTTCCAGGCTGGTGCTCAGTCCACTGAGCCACAGCAATGAGGGCTCTGTTTCTACTTCCTTCTCCTCCTCCTTCCTTCTTCTTTCTCCTCCCCTTCCTCTCTGTCCTCCTCCTCCTCCTCACTCCTCCTTCCTCCCTTCTTTCTTCTTCTCATTCATATTTAGGTCTTCAATCCAGCTGGAATTTATTTTGATATATAGTTTGTGGAGAATGCTTAAATTTATCTGCTTGTAACTAGCCGATTTTCACGATACTTGTTGAGAATCTATTTCTTTTCCATTGCTTTTTTCCCAAAAGTGGTTTATTAAGTGAGCCTAAAATTTTTTTTAAATACATTATTTTTTAGAGCAGTTTTATGTTCCCAGTCAAATTGAGCAGAAGGTACAGAGATTTCCCATTAACTCCTGCCTTCACTCACACAGAATGTCTCTCATTATCACCATTCCCCACCAGAGTGGCACATTTGTTATAACTGATGAACATACATTGATACATCATTATCACCCCAAAGTCCATAGTTTACATTAGGGTTCACTTTTGGTCTTATATAGCCTATGGTTTGGACAAATTTTTTAATGACATGTAACTACCATTACAGTAGCACACAGAGTAGTTTCACTGCCCTAAAAATCTTCTTGTGCTTCACCTACCATTACCAAACAAACCCATGGGTGTAGGGGACAAAATACTATTACTGAATGGACCTGCCCTTTCTCCCGGAGTCCCCCTGTACTAGGTTCTCCTTGCCCACTGCCAGGGAATTATAGCTTTCAATGTCAGAGATTGGTGAAAGGGTAAGGAATTATTCAACAGTTATACAGACTTAGAGTAATGACTTAATGTCTTCATAAAGATCCCAAAGTTCCTTAAAACACCCACAAACACACACAGTCCTTCCTTCCCCTCTTTGCCCAGTCAGAAGTACCATATCCCAGGGAAAGAAATAGAAGTCTGTGGCTCAAGTAACCCCTGGTTCTTCCCAGTAATCTGTGCTCCGCTAGCAGGCCTCCCTCTGTTCCCAGCACCATTAGCTGTGTCGCTGCCAAGATCTCCTGTTAATCCGAACCCATGTGGCACCTTCTCCTGGCCCACTAGCAAGAGTCCTTTCACTCTTTCCTTTCCACAGCATCTCTCCTGCATTCTTCTGCACTGCTAAAAGAGAGCTCTGCATCACTTCTACATCTTACTTTCTGGCTTCCTAAGCTGCGTGGCAAAGGGACCCCCAGCACTACATGGTTATCCCTTTCTCACCAAAAGCCGCATGGTCCTAACCTTTCTTGACAAAGCCGCATGGTTCCCTCTTTTTCTTGGCAAAGCTATGTGGCCCCAACCTAGCATGGCTGCCGCACCAGGGTTTAAATCCGAACACCAATCTTCCTCTGTAGTCCCATTTCCGAATCCTCCCACAATCCATTACACTTGCCAGCATTCCCATATTTGTTTAGCTTTTCTGGGCTGCCATAGTAAGTCCAGACAGGTGTGGCCCTGTGGTGTGGAGCCAACAATCTCTTAGCTCTTAGGCAGATTCTGTAACCTGGGGGAGTTGCCTCCCAGTTACATCATGGATGCAATTTATTCCCATCTCCCTGGCTCAAAGCATAGCTATAGCTATTTAACATACCCATGAAACCAGTTAAAAGTTATAGATATGTTAAATGACCATTGATGAGGTTAGTTGCAAAACTTGCTATGCAGAATAACTCTCAATGGCCCTGCCCCATGTATCCCACCCCCCAGTTCAGACTTGTAGGGGTAAGGGCATCCTATATATATTTTTAAATATTTCCTGGACACCCTGAGTTCTGGACCCCATTACAAATCTATATTTGGGGGCCCCCTGACTGTACCCTGTTCCACTACTCATTTTTTCCAGCCTTCCATTGCTTCAAACCCTCACAACCACTGTCTTCTTACTGTCTCCATAGTTTTGCCTTTTTCAGAATGTCATGTAGTGGGTTGGAATCATAAGGTATGTAGCCTTTTCAGATTGAATTCTTTATTTAGTGATATGAATTTAAATTTCCTTCATGTCTTTTTATGGCATGGTAACTCATTTCTTTGTAGTGCTGAATAATACTCCATTGTCTGGGTGTACCACAGTTTATTTATCCATTTACCTACTCAAGGACATCTCTGTTGCTTCCAGGTTTTGGTAATTATGAGTAAATCTGCTATAAACATCCATGTGTAGGTTTTTATGTGGACATATGTTTTCAGCTCCTTGGGTAAATAATAAGGAGTGTGATTGCTGGACCACATGGTAAGAGTATGTTTAGTTTTGTAAGAAACTACCAAACTGTTTTCCAGAGTGGCTGTAACATTTTGCATTGCTACCAGCAGTGTATAAGGGTTCCTTTTGCTCCAAATCCTTGCCAGCATTGGATGTTGGCATTGTTCTGGATTTTGGCCATTCTCATAGGTGTGTAGTGGTATTGTATTGTTTTAATTTGTATTTCCCTGGTGACATATGATATGGTGTATCTTTTCATGAGTTTCTTTGCCATGTGTAAGTTTTTGGTGAGGTACCTGTTAGGGTCTTTGGCCATTTTTTAAATCACATTTTTTTTCCTTATTGTTGAATGGTGGAGAGATAGGGGTAGAAAACAGATGATTTTCACTCTGTGACCTCTATATCATAAGTATGAATTACTTTTTCAAGAGAACAATTAAAATAATTTTAAACAGTTGTCCTTTAAAAAGGCGAATGTGTATATGTATATACTCTTTGACTACTGCTGAGAACTTTAGTTTTAGGCAAAGGAAGGTTGTGCTTGTTTTCTCTCTTGGAATGTCAACACTGAAACTAGATTTGGTCCAAAATGGTAGAGATTTGTTTACTGTGTGTATTCCCACAGCAGGTGTGTTGCCACCAGACTGATTACTGGCAGTTTGTGAAAGATATCCGCTGGCTTAGTCCCCACTCCGCCCTTCATGTGGAAAAGGTAAGAAGTGAAGGTCACCACACGGCTTTGTTGTTTGATCTTCTGTTTGGAGAGTCTCCTAGGGTAGAAGGATGGTGTGTGTCAAATTTCTTATTAATTGAGGAAATGAAATAATCCCTGTAGGACTGATTTGGAGGGGAGGATTATTTGCTTTAAAAAAATAAACCTTGCAAACTCATTTCTCTAGGTCACTTTCTGTCTTCTGGGGAAGGGGTGAAACAGTTTTGCTGTTTTCAAAAGGTCTGCATATATGGGACCAGAGTGAAGCTTTTCAAAATGCAGGGCGTATAGCAAGAGATTCCTTGAAGTGGTTGGGGGAAGTAGGACTGAAATGTTAATAACTGTTTAAGAAGAAAAGAATGTACCAGTTAGAAAGAAATGTGAGGTTTCTGGAGGCCAGTATCATATAGAGCTAAGCATGTTCCTGACAGCTTTGGCTGCCATCATACCACTCTACTCTTCTGTCCTCTCAGCTATCATAGTACTCCTGATTTCTAGTCAGGGAAGCAGAGCTTAAGATGGTTAGGTGTCTTCGCCAGAGTTACACAGCTAGTTCCAGATCAATAACTGCTAAATTTATGTATCTCTTTAACTCTTTATTATGGAAAAATTCAGTATATTGAAAATCAAAGAGAATAGTGTAATGAACTCTAAAATAGCCATCACCCATCTTTAATACTTACTGATTCATGGCTGGTCTTATTTCATGTATTACTCCACCCACTGCCAGATTCATTGTTGAGATGGTGTTTGGAAAAGTAATTTGTTTTTAAATGGTCAGGGAACCAAATAACAAGGTCTCACACTATCCTTTTTGTGAAGGAGAACCCAGAGCCCAATGATTTTCTTATCTAGATTTTTTGTCTTCATTTTATTTTTCCCACCAAACCTCCCACTATTTTTTTAATAAAGTATATTGCTGCAGTCATGTACTCTTAGAAGCAGCTTGAAATTGTCATCCATACATTTTTTGATCATGGGCTATTATACATTGCTTTCAGAAACAGCCAAGTAGAAGGAGGTTCCAAATAGAGCATACCGTGGCTAGAGTCAAAAAGAGGTGTTCAGATGGTTTCTCTTTGGGGATATTTTTCCTAGATTTTCAACCCACCCACTGCCTGCCGCCCCCCGCCCTGCACTGCCAGATATTTGTTGCATTATTTTATGAAGGCCATCTTAAGTAGAGGACTCTGTGAAGAGAAGGCAAGAGGTCAAGTTTATTCTTCCTTTGAACACCCCTGAATAGATGCCTCTTTGGAGATAGAACACTAAGGGACAGGTGTAGCAGCTTTGTTTTCTCTAGGTCACAGGTGGCAAACACAAGGTTCATGGGATGAGTCCAACCCTCCACCTTGTTTTATCTGCCTAGCACCCTGTTTCTGCACTGTTAAGGAGTAGTTACATTTTTAGTCCTAAAACTGCATTCGGCCCTTTGAAGGCAACCGCGAGGCTGATGTGGCCCCTGGTGAAAATGAGTTTGACACCCTTGCTCTAGGAGCAGCATATTAGGTCTTAACTGCTTAGTCCCTCTCCAGTTGCCCAATCTAGCAGCGGAACCATTAATCCCTTCCTTCCCTTTCCTTCCTCAGTAACCTCTAAAGCTAGCCGGAGGAAAAATACCTCTGATTTCCTCCTCTTAACCTGTCTCAATTTAGTTCTCAGGTCACTAGGCTTTAATCTTGCTGTGTTTTATCAGTATACATATTTTGACTCATGCCTTTTTACCTCCTAGTTCATCAACTTGCATGAGAGTGGCCAGAGCAGCACTGATGGTGTGAGTGAACGTGTCATTGCAGAGCTATGGCTGCAGCATAGCTTGCAGTGCCACTGTCTCTCAGCTCAGCTCCGACCTCTGCTTGGGGATAGACAGTATATCAGAAAATTCTACACAGGTAGGTAGAGGTCACTTAGCCAGGATTGTGGCATATACATCCTCATTGTTTCTCGCTTTACTCTTACTTTATAGACTCGTTCTTACCCAAGGTCTCATGCTTTTACTTGATGCCATAGAGATTCTAATCAGAAACACGTAGTCTTATCTCTTATTTCCTATGTAATGCACAAACTTATTCCCCTACTCCCATACACACAAACCAATAAGAAAAACTGCTATTTATTGAGAGTTTCTATGTTCCAACACTGTTACGTACTTTTTATTCATATATATTTTTAAAAGATTTTATTTATTTACTTTTAGAGAGAGGGGGAGAGAAAGAGGGAGAGAGAGAGACATCAGTGTGTGAGAGATGTGTGGATCAGTTGCCTCTCACATACCCCCAACTGGGGACCTGCCCTACAACCCAGGCATGTGCCCTGACTGGGAATCGAACCAGCAACTTTTCAGTTTGCAGGATGGCACTCAATCCACTGAGCCACATCAGCCAGGACTATACATGTACTTTTAACATAACCCTGAGAGTTGGGTATTGATATGCTTGTTTTCCAATCAGGGAAGTAGAGCTGAAGGAGGTCAGGTTACTTGGCCAAAACCACCCAGAACCAGGATTCAAATCTGGGTCACTCTGACTTTGAAGCCTGTTGTCCTGGCCCCTCTCCTGTACTGTACATCACTTAGCCTCTCTTGTACTTTATTCATTGCTGTCTCCTCTTCTTTCCACAGTGGCATGATTCTTCTCAAGTCATGTTTACCTTTTCCCCTTCATCTTTCCTGAGCTTCTTCCAGGATCATACAGGGAAGCTGAAGATCTCCCTATTGGGCTCCATCACTGTGACAGCTTTTCTCTCCCCAGATACTGCTTTCCTGCTAAGTGATGCCCACGTCACGGCCATGCTCCAGTGCCTAGAAGCAGTGGAACAGAACAATCCCCGCCTCCTGGCCCAGATTGATGCATCTATGGTAAAAGGGGCAAAGAATTATCTATGTTTGTGCTGGCCTCCTAGACCTCACCAGAATGTAACCCTCTGTAGCTAACTACTTCTTCGTTTAGGCAGTTGTGAACTGAAAGGCTTTCATTAACAACAAAAACAACAAAACTTGGAAAAGAAGGGGAGGTACTGTTAAGTACCTATTGAAGACAAAAGTCTAAGCTTAGGTCTGTTTGAAAAGGGAGGTGTCTGTTTTTTTTTAATTCTTTTAAAAATCCTTAGTTTCAGTAAGCACCTCCTTAAGGGCAGGTTTGGCAAAGGGCTAGGGAGAAGAGGAATGATTTTGAATCAGGAGTAGGATTTATAGTGTCATACCTAGTATGGCCTAGTATTATACTGAATCATTTTTCTCCTTGACGTATAAAGAAAATTTTGTCACTTGATGTTGATTATTATTAACTCCCTGATTCATTTACCCTATCACTAATACCAGTACTGCAGCTAGAATGGAATTACATTCCCTATCTCTCCTGGTTTTAAAATTTTTATTCTTGGTTACTACCTATTGAACACTATGGATGTGTCAGGCATGATGCTATGCACAATTAATGTATCATCGCATTTAATCCTCACTACTTTAGGAGGTTGCCATTAACCTCATTTTATAAAGGGGACCACTGAGGGACAGAATAGGTAAGTCACTTGCCCCAAGTTTGGACCAAATAGCTTATAAGTGATAGGGCCTAGATTTGAATGCTAGTCTGACTTCTGACTCCATCTGCATAGCAGTCCAAGCCTGCTGCCAAAGGTCAGCTTCTACTAGTGTTTCTGTAGTGCTTAGCACCCCTCTGAGGACCTCTATTCTTGACTCTGAAACATGTTTTTTTGTAGTTTGCCAGAAAGCATGAGAGCCCACTGCTGGTGACAAAGAGTCAGAGCCTGACTGCTCTGCCTGGTTCCACATGCACCCCTCCAACCAGCTTTGCTCAGCATTCCTACTTTGGGTCCTTCTCCAACCTCCACCAATCCGTACCCAACCATGGCCCAGGTATGGGGGCAGGAAGGGGTCGTCATGACATGTATCCCCAACCTGGAAAGAAGACTTGGTGGGTGCTCACAGGCTGGGTATAGATAGAGCCTTGGGTTGGTGCAGTTTGTCAAGCTTCATATCTTAATAATGGACTTCTTAAAAAGTTATACAGCAACTAGACTAAGATAATTCAGTAGAATCATTCACATAACAGAGGAAAGAGAGGTGTTTTTAGGTTCCCCTGGGTTTTTAACCTGCATTACCAAGAAGGCATTTCAATAATAATAGCTAACGTGTATTGAATGCCTACCATATGCCAGGCTCTGTTGTAAGCAGTTGATCCTCAAAACAGTCCTATGAAGTGGGTGTTATTATTGCTCATTTTACAGATGAGGAATGCATACTAATAAGCCATGAAGCCACTGTTTTAAGAGCTTATTTTCTTGGCTTAGCTGCTTCTAAGTAATTTTTTACTCACCTTAAATGACTTAGCTTTTCTGAGGTGACACCATGTGTTCTGAGCACCCAGTAATGATAGGGAGTTTGATCCTTAGTTGTGGAGAAGCTCTTCATATATACCAAAGGCTTCCAGCTCACCTTTTCCTTTCTTTTCTTTTTACATTCTAGAAAGAAGATCTACTTCCTTTTCTCTCTCTGGCTCTTCCTGGAAATCTCAAGAAAACAGGAGACATGTCTCCCCAGCAGAAGATCAGACCATCCAAGCCCCTCTGCTACCAGTCTCTGCATTAGCCAGGGATTCCCCCTCAACACCAAATGAGATGACCTCTAGCACTCTGACCAGCCCTGTAGAATCATCCTGGGTCAGCAGCCAGAATGACTCCCCAAGTGATGTCAGTGAGGGGCCAGAGTACTTGGCCATTGGCAACCTGGACTCTCGAGGCCGGACCTCCAGTTGTCAGAGTCACAGCAGCCATACAGAGAGCAGCAGCTCCAATTTGTTCTCCTCCAGCAGTTCCCAGAAGCCAGATTCTGCTGCTTCTTCCCTAGTGGACCAAAATGGAGGTGGGCAGAGCCAGCTGTCCAGTGTCCTTCGCAGGTCCAGCTTCTCAGAGGGCCAAACACTCACTGTCACCAGTGGAACAAAGAAGAGCCATATTCGCTCCCATTCAGATACCAACATTGTCTCCAGAGGAACCCCAGGTAATGGTAACCACCAGGCCCTGAGTTAGTATGGTGGCCTCCTGAATTTTTCTTAGGATAGAAGGCAGAGTTTGCTTTTAAGGGTCTGCAAATGGCAGACAGAGAAGTTATGTTTTGGATGACATGATGGTATGCTGCTTCTAACAAAAGAGAAGTTTGTAATGTAACACAGATAACCAAGAAATGTCTGAGAATATTTGTGTTTGTTCCTTTATACACTGCTAAGTAGTAAATGCCTTCCTGGATTCTTTCACTAGTTCTTTAGCATCCGAGCATATGTAGTGTGACTCGTCACAGTTCAAGTTTTACATGTATCCTTGAGACAGAGGGGGAAGTACTAATAAGCTTTAAAAATAATTCCATTAAATTCCTTCCCTTCCTGTGGTTTCTGAGGTTTGGTCAGCATGTACTATGAATATGAGAGAGGCAAAGTGATATTAAGATCTGATTAAAACTAGGGATATAGTGAGTGTAGGGTGATGTAAGCTAGTGAACAAGGACAGACTGCATCACTAAATCAGGCTGAAAGACAGGTAAGGAGGCTTTGGCCACGGAGACCTCCCTCACACAAACGCCGGCTGCTAGCAGTAGAGAGTGCTGTATTCACAAGGAAGGTGGGTCTCATTGCTTTTGCCATCTTCCTGCCCTCATCTTTCCTGGAATGTTGGTGCCTGGCAGGCTTTGGTTGGGTCTCATTTATAAGAGAATCTCCATAACAGCAAATGTAACATGGACCTTTGTGCTTAAAGTCAGTTCTGTGTGGGAAAGCCCGAGAAATAAAACATACAAAGTTAAGAACAAAAAACGGTTTGCTTTAGCAAGTAGAGCTGCCATTGATTTCTCTTCATAATTTATTGAAAGGTGAGAGCTAAGGCCCTCATCTGAAACTTCTGAATGGCAAACTTTGTCTCTGTTTTCCTGTCAAGAGTGTGGTTTGGCTTGTTGGAACTCTTTAGGAAAACAAAACTCCAAGTCAAAGCCTTTCTGCCCAAGAGCTTTTTTAGATGTGAAGAGTGCTTAGGTGAGAGACTCGATTCACATTTCCTGCTGCAGGCCTGGTGTCTACTATATGCCAGGCCACTGGTCGTTGAACATGTAATAGTTCCCTGTCCTCATTCTTGAATCCTCCTGGTTTCCAGAAACCATGACAATCTGCCTTGGAAAAGGGAGCCAGAGAAAACCTAAGCAGAAGGGTCTGAGGGAATGTGGGTCACGTACAGCTTCTTGAACGAGTCTTTCTTCCTTCAGCACAAGGGCACCCTCTCGGTAGTTAAATTCCCCACCTCCTCTAAATAAAAGGACACTCTTTTTCACTTTCTCTATTCTCCTTTCCTCTCTCTGGATTCACCTCTGCACCTGTGTGTCTACATGCAGGAGGCCCCAGGAATATCACCATTATAGTTGAAGATCCTATTGCAGGTTTGGGAGCCAGTCCTCCTCCTTTCTGTGTGCCACCTCCTCCTGCTGCTCCTCTGTGACCGGTGTGCTTGGTTCAGAACCTCCTTTTCCATTCTGGTGTCAAATCAAGTCTGGCTAGTCTGGTTCTGCTGTGATGCTTGTACCTGTCTGGAAAATGGCACCAATATGTTGCAAGATATGTTTTCTGCCCACAACTTCCAAATGCTTCATTCACTCTCCCAACTTCTCTGGGTAGCAAAGTCAAGGCTTGTCAGACCTGTTTGTCCAAAGATGAAACTGAGACCTGCCATTTATTTAAGGCATTATGATGAATCAGTGGCAGAATTTTTCTTAAAACTGAGAACTTAGAACACATTACTTTATTTTCCTTGAATTAACACCAGAATGTCTTTTCTTTGCTATGGTCTATGGTCTTGGATGTAGATGCATGTTTTTTCGCTTCTCCTAGAGTCTCCTGTTTCCTTTCCCTGTTATCCATCTTCCTTCCCCTATCAGGTTCTCCCTACCCCTCATTCCAGCTGTTGCATAGGATTTTTCTAGTGACTTAGTTTGTTTCTGTGGTTTTCACAGTGGTGTTAAATGGAATGTTATGTACCATAATGCCATAATACCATATAGAGATATTAACCCTAGACTGTGTCTGCAAGACAGTGGTGAGGGAGGACTGAAAACCATGTTCTCTTGGTAATGGGGTGAAGTCACTGGGTATGTTAACTTGGAAAAGAGAAGGTTAAAGAGGAATTAGTCTGTGAGACCATTGTTTAGAGGAGCATTGTTCTTAAGGAGATGAGAAATTTTAAGAAGACAGATTTTAAGTGAGTATGGGAAAAGTCTAAGAATTAGAGATGTTCAGTTGAGTGGGCAGCATCAGGAGGTAGTGAGCTCAGTAAGCAAGACTGAGTGGCCTTTACATATTATAAAGGACCAGGGCGCTGGTGTTGGAGTTTGTATGGTACTCTGAGTTTGACTGGGGACCTCAAAGATCCCTTCCAAGTCATGTTTTCTTAACAAGGCATCATGGTGACTGCTGGTTTGCCTTCAGGCCAACACTGAGGAGCAGAGGCAAGACTAACAGAAATCTTTGAGGCCCAAGGAAAACACAAAGTTATCTGTCACCATGTAGTAGCATATTTTGTGAGAGGAGCAACTGACAAATTGGCACCATCTGCCAGGGAAATGGGTTGGCTGCAGCTCAGTCATTTATTCTCCCTGAGCATACAGCTCATTTCTCAGGCACCCACCTGCTTTCCTGCCTGCGCTTCCTTCTGTGATGCTGGAATTTTATTTACCTTTGGAGAATTTCAGTTTCTCAGTTCTTGTGAGCTCTGCCTGCCGCTATTGCTCCACTCCCAACTTTCATTGTTCCTTGAAGGCTTCTACACATGCACTTGCTACTTTGCCAGCCTTCTCTCAAAACCTCTCCTCTTCTCCAGGAAGGCTGGGCCTCCAGCCCTTTGGTTACAGGGCATCATCCTCGGCTTCTCTCACACTGTCTTGATGCTTCTTTTAAGGATATTGCTGGATTTTGTTTTGCTGTTCTGCCATTTCAGAAATGGGTTATATTTGTAGGTATGACAAATTTACATTTCAGGTTGAAGGGAAGCCATATTCTGGTGTTTCCTTAGTGAGCCTAACCCTCTCTGATACTGTTTTAAAACCTAGTGTCAAGGTATCAGAAAAGCATCAATGTGCTTTTTTTGTTGTTGTTAAAGATTTTATTTATTTATTTTTAGAGAGGGAAGGGAGGAGGAGAGAAAGAGAGAGAAACATCAATGTGCGGTTGCTGGGGGCCGTGGCCAGCAACCTAGGCATGTGCCCTGACTGGGAATCGAACCTGCAACACTTTGGTTCGCAGCCCGCGCTCAATCCGCTGAGCTACGCCAGCCAGTAATGTGCTTATTTTTGTTTTACCACATGAAGACAGTTTTGTAAATTGGTTTGTCAAGGGGTTAGAAGTTGGCTGATATTTTTTGAACATTTGGTAAGAAAATGGAAGAACAGAGAACTAAATTCGTGAATCCACTTTCATTTGATTCTTTTTCATCTTTGTGTTGTTTCATTCTGGGCCATGTTTTTCTCTTCTCCCCTTAGAATAGACTGACTTCCCACTCTTTCCCGCCATGTGTTCCTGCATTCTTGAACTGCCCCCTGTTGGTGTGCCTCCTCTCTCCCGTTTGGGAGGGCATTGGGAATGGGAGCAGTTAAATGATAAAAAGCCAAAGTTGGGAATGCATCTGTGTTCACTTTGTATGTGTGTTTTTACTCCCTGCTGGTCACTGACACTAGAATCCTGCAATGATAAGTCGAAGTTGAGAGGCCACTTGCCCTACTCTGGCCAAAGCAGTGAAGTCAGCATACCCAGCTCCCCGTACATGGAGTATGGTAAGTGAGGACTGGGAAGACCAGGACTGCGATTGTGTCTTTGCTCTCCCCTTGTGCCTGCTAAGCTCTGAGCCATGTGGCTCATCTCAGCTCTTTGGAGGGTACACATGGTACAATCTCACTCTCCCTTTCATCATTTTCAACCCCTGTGTTAGAAATCACACTGCCCCTCCATTTCTCTTGCTTCTCTCTGACTTAGGGGTCCCACCCTCTTATGCTGTGGGTGTTATCACTGTGAACGTCTGTTGAGCCAGATGGAGTGGCTTTCTGAGAGGGTGAAAAGAGGCTTCAGAGTGTCTGGGCTTAATGACTGGAAGATAAGCTCTCCATGGAAATCATCCATAGGAGGGAACCATTTGTTTCCTTGTCTGACTCTCAGCACAGGTTTTTTGTTTTCTTTGTTGTGGGGTAGGAGGGTGAGTATGTCATCTCAAATTTAGGTGGTAAAAGAATTTTCTCCAGGTCCTCTCCATTTATTCCATCATTCTTTAACCAAGAGGCTTAGTGCCCTGGCAGCCTAAAATTCTGAGAAATTCCTTTAGAAGGTAGATATCTTTTTTCCAACCTGTTACCTGGGAAAAACGTGGGATCATCATTAGTGGAAAAAACATTAGACTTCTTAAAGAAGCATGATCGTTACAGATTTGCTTTTCAAAGGAGAGTTTTTCATATCCATATTCCATTTTCCCACAGAGGGTGGTCAGTACCTATGCTCAGGTGAAGGCATGTTCCGAAGACCATCAGAAGGACAGTCCCTTATCAGCTACCTGTCTGAGCAAGACTTCGGCAGCTGTGCAGACCTGGAAAAGGTGAGGAATCTAAGGGGCTACTGAAGAGCCCATAAGTCAGGACATCTGAGGACCTGCAGTGCCATTTGTCCTTAAAGAGGTCGTGGGGTACGCAGCAGTAACATGAGTAAAGACTACAGTAAAATTAAGTTCACAGTAAAGATGAGCTCAATAAATTCTGTCTCTGGAGAACTCTTCAAGGAGTTGTGCTTCTAGAGTCTAAAAATATTATTGATTATGCCTTAGAAGCCTCCTTAGAGAAGCATTGAATTTTAGCCCCATGATTATATGATTTCCTTGAGCCTGGGACCTTAGAGGAAAACTGTTTCCAGAATCAACTTCTGTATTTTGTTCTAAGATTCAGATTTGTTTGTAATAAATAACTTCCCTTTAGAACTTTATAGCTTACAAAGCACTTTATCTTTTTTTTGGGGGGGGGGGCCTGTTGTGCTTTTTAAATTTATTTTTAACGAATAGCATAGTTGCATAGTTCAAAAATAAGCAATACTACAAGACTTACAAAGAAAAACTACAAAGCAACCCTGCCCCATATCTCTCAACCCTCTCTGGCTACTTTCACGTATTTTTATCATATTTCTTTTTTTTATATATATTTTATTGATTATGCTATTACAGTTGTCCCATTTTCCCCCCTTCATTCCCCTCCACCTTGCACACCCTCTCCCACCCACATTAGTTCATGTTCATGTGTCATACTTATAAGTTCTTTAGCTTCTATATTTCCCATACTCTTCTTACCCTTCTCCTGTCTATTTTCTCCCTACCATCTATGCTACTTATTCTCTGTACCTTTTCTCTCTCCTCCTCCCACTCCCCTTTTGCTAACCCTCCATGTGATCTCCATTTCTGTGGTTTTGTTCCTGTTCCAGTTGTTTGCTTAGTTTGTTTTTTGTTTTTGTTTTAGGTGTGGTTGTTAATAATTGTGAGTTTGCTGTCATTTTACTATACATGTTTTCTATATTCTTTTTCTTAGATAAGTCCCTTTAACATTTCATATAATAAAGGCTTGGTGATGATGAACTCCTTTAACTTGACCTTATCTGAGAAGCACTTTTTTTTTTTTTTGAGAAATAAAAGCCAAGTTTATTTGTTCATTTCTTGCACTTGAAGTACTCCTTGATGACATCCTTGGCCTGAGACTCTTTGCCATAGTCCTTGACCACCACACAACTGCAACCAACCACTTTACGGGGTTTTCCCTCTCTGTCGATCTTACAGAGGCCTACCCATTCTCCGAGTTTCTTGTTGTCGTCAACCTTAATTAGGTTGATCTGGTGTTCAGCACAAAGGGCCTCCACCAACTTGACATACATGGGCTCATCACAGTTGGAGGCAAGCACACAAAGGTGGGCTTGGCGCTTGTCTAAGGCTTTGGCAGCTTCACGAATTTTGTGCGCTAGGCCATCGTGAATGAGTGCGGTCTTCAGCACCTCTTGTAAAGCTGTATTTATGTCCATTACACCTCCAGCAGCAATGCCTTCCTCGGCCATGGCAGTGGGTTATGGGTGGAGCCGAATCTTGAACGCACCCAAGCCTATGGCGGCAGGGAAAGAGCCTGAGAAGCACTTTATCAGCCCTTCCATTCTAAATGAAAGCTTTGCTGGATAGAGCAATCTTGGATATAGATCCTTGCCTTTCATTACTTGGAATACTTCTTTCCTGCCCCTTCTTCCCTGCAAGATCTCTTTTGAGAAATCAGCTGACAGTCTGATGGGAACTCCTTTGTAGGTTACTGTCTCCTTATCTCTTGCTGCTTCTGGGATTCTCTCCTTCATTTTCATCTTGGCTAATGTAATGATGATGTGCTTTGGTGTGTTCCTTCTTGGGTCCCACTTGTTTGGGACTCTCTGAGCTTCCTGGACTTCCTGGAAGTCTATTTCCTTCTTCAGATTGGGGAAGTTCTCCTTTATTATTTGTTCAACTAACTTTTCCACTTGTTGCTCTTCCTCTTCCCCTTCTGGTACCCCTATAATTTGGATATTGGAACGTTTCAAGATGTTCTGGAGGTTCCTAAGCCTCTCCTCATTTTTTTTGAATTCTTGTTTCTTCATTCTTTTCTGTTTGGTTGTTTCTTCCTTCTGGTCCACTCCATCAATTTGAGTCCCAGTTTTCTTCCCATCACTGTTGGTTCCCTGTGCATTATCCTTTATTTCACTTAGCATAGCCTTCATTTTTTCATCTAATTTGGGACCAAATTCAACCAGTTCTGTGAGCATCCTGATCACCAGTGCGTTGAACTGTGCATCTGATAGGTTGGCTATCTCTTGGTCGCTTAATTGTATTTGCTGTGGTGCTTTGATCTGTTCTACTGTTTGGACCTTTTTTTTCTTTGTCTTGTTGCACCTGTTATGTTTGAGGGGCAGAGCCTTAGGTGTTTATCAGGGCAGGGCAACCTAGTAGCTGGCATGTGACGCTATAAGTGGGGGTGGGGTCCAAGAGGGAACAATGGCACTTGGTACGCTCTCTGTCAGATTTTGGTCCCTTCCACCACTTCCCCCAAGCAAACTGGGCCTTTCTGGTGCTGATTCCCATGTGGGTGGGCTTGTGTATATTCTAGGACCCTCTCCAATGAACTCTCCTGTGAGGCTAGGAGTCTCTCCCTGTGTCTCAACCTCCACAGGTCTTTTCAATCGGTGTTTTGAGGCTTTATTTCCCTGCACTGGGACCCTGGGTTGCACAATCTGTCTCACTCCCCAGTTTTGCCTGGTTTATCTGGGCGCCAGTGTGGGACTGCCGGGTCAGCCAGCTGTCTTGTGTGCAGTGCTTTGCTTCACAATCGCCGTCTCAATGAGTCTGCCTGTTGCCACCCCGTGCCCAGGGTCTGCAAGCCACCGCTTGTGCACCCAGGGTCCACCCGCTGCGGTCTTGCGCACCCTGGGTGCCTTGTGCACCCGTGCCACTGCTTTTTGTGCTGCAGTCCCTCTCTGCCCGGTGGTCTGACTCCGCTCCTCCTACCGGTCTGGATGTATGTCTATTTTAACTCCTTAGTTGTCCAACTTCCATACAGTTCAACTTCCTGTCAGTTCTGGTTATTATTTTGTTTCTAAATTGTTGTTGTCCTTATTTTAGTTGTGCGAGGAGGCACAGTGTGTCTACCTACACCTCCATCTTGGCCGGAAGTCCTCAGCACTTTATCTTGAGATATCACATTTACCCTAATAATTTGTGTTCAGGTGTATGGCTTTAGGAAAGACCCTGATATGAAATTCTGGACCTCTTCTCTGTCATGTTTTTATGTAGAAAGTAGGACAGGAAGGCCAGACATGAACAGGTATGAGAGCAGAGAGAATGTAGAGCACCTTTTCTGACCCTGAGCTTTCCTTTTAGTAGAAGTGTACATTTCTCCTGGGTGATTTGAGTAAAAGCAGTACATTCTTTGGAAGCTTTATCTCCAACACTGTAATCAGTGAGGCGTTCAATACTTCTAACCCTTTGCTGAACAACTTTGTTGATGCTTTCCTTCCCCCAGGAAAATGCCCACTTCAGCATCTCCGAGTCCTTGATAGCTGCCATTGAATTAATGAAGTGCAACATGATGAGTCAGTGCCTAGAAGAGGAGGAAGAGGAGGGAGAAGACAGTGACAGGGAGATCCAGGAACTGAAGCAGAAGATCCGCCTTCGTCGCCAGCAGATCCGCACCAAGAATCTACTCCCTGTGTATCAGGAGACTGAGCATGGAAGTGAGTGATGTGTGAAGACCTCTGTTCCTGCTTCTTCAGGGCTTCAGGACAAGATTCGGTGCTTCTTGGGTTTTCTTTTCTTTCTTAATTTGAGATGTTATAACCAAGTCAAGGTTCCCTCTTTCTGTCAGAGTTCTGTTCTATTTTTTTTTCTAGCAGACCAGAGTCCTAGGGTTTATCTGTGTCATACCTCAGAAATACCTTCCAAGAAATGGGTTTCTGATATGAAGAGAACTAAGACCACTGGCCCCAGATTTACTTCCCAGATAGTAGTACCTTCTATTTACATGAAATTTTCTAAATTTCATGAATAAAATGGGGATCAACCAGCAAGAAGAACTAGTTTCCACTTCCCCAGTATCACTCCCAAGGTTCTATTAACTTCTTCGTTGAAGTTGTTAACCCAGAAGAAGTAGGAGATGTTTTTCTATCCTGTTTATTCCCTCCCTGACTTTTCTTATTAACAGGCTTTCGAGTCACGTCCAGCAGCTCCCAGTTCAGTTCACGTGATTCCGCACAGTTCTCTGACTCTGGCTCTGCTGATGAGGTTGATGAGTTTGAAATCCAAGGTAAGAAGTGACACTCTGTTTAAAGGGAGCTTTCATTACTGGTTTCTTTGAATTTCAAGTCATAGACTGAGAAACTTTCCCTAAGTAGGGATCTTCAATATAGTCCATTAGGGAATGTTGTTGGCTATTGTAAGGGATAGCTTCTCTTGTAAAAAATGAAACCTCTTTAAAACTTAAGCAGAAAAGAACACAAAAAGGAAGCGTTCCAGGGGGAGTGGACTGGCTGTTAAAGTCACCCTGCTGTTTCTTCCTCTTTTGCGCCTTTCTCTTGGCTTCTCAGATTCTTCCTGCTAAGAGCCTAGGACTGGCCCATACCTACATGAAATTAGGATCTTATTCTCTTGTACACCATAACACAACTGTAATTGTTTCAATATGTTTATAAGGAGCTTGATTATAATCCTAAGAGAAAAGGACAGAAAGAGTCACTGGGCAGGGGGCGGAAGAAAAATACAGTTCACAGAGTAGAGCTTTATTTTTCTGTCCTACTAGTGCTAAGTTTCTTAACAGAATCACAGACTCTTGTAGTTGTTCTTGCTGTCATAAGCATCTGTTTAGAGAAGGGGAGGTGTTCTAATCTGGGAAGGCAATTGTGTTAAATTAGGTTAACCCATGATTAATGGGTTAATTAATTCCTGCAAATCATAGATTTATTCAAGTTCCTATCAGTGTAACAAACCAACAAACAGGCTGACAAACCAACCAAAAAATTGTTCATGGACATCATCAGAGGATGATGAATAGATAGATCTTTTATTGTATGAGGCTCTAACTTCTTGTTTCCACCAGTCTAGAGCGCCCATTCACCTACACAGACCTCCAGGTGTGGTAGCTGGTTTTTCCTCATCCAGAAATACAATTTTTATGCAAATTTTTCCAGGTTTCCAGGAAATCCTTCTGTATTCTCCTTAATGTATCTGATTTCTATCTATTACAATAGTAGTCACTTAAAACTCATTATTATTATTTACTGACTTGTATATGGTTTTCCAACAGTTCTCCAATTCTCTTACACCAACTGAATGTCCTATGATTCAATCCTAACACTAACTTCTGGAGCACAGACCTGACCCCACAGCTTAAGGCCTCAATCCCGTGAGACTATCCCCACTTAGATGCCAGCTGCAAATGGGGTTACCAGGCTACCCACAGGTCTCTCCAGCCAACGACAAATTCAGGGGTTCCTATGACTCCCTACTCAGGTTCAATAATTAGCTAGAATGACTCACAGAACACAATAAAGCACTATGCATACAATTACAGTTTATTATAAAGGATAAAAATGAACAGTTACATGCTCATTTTTATGTACATAGGTACATAGTGCAAGGTCCCAAAGTGTCCACAGGAACCTCTGTCCCTGTGGAGTCAGGGTGTGCCACTCTCCTAGTACATTAATATGTTTGTTCACCAATGAGGAAGCTTTCCCAGACCTCATCATTGTGAATTTTTATTAAGGTTTCATCATGTACACATGAGTGATTAAACCACTGACCATTGGTGATTAGGCCTAATCTAAGGACCTCTCCCCTCCTAGGGAATTGGGGTTGGGGTTAAAAGTTCTTCGGTAACCTGGCCTATCCAAGGTATCTGGATGCCCTCTAAGGGTCCCCCTATTAAATAGCATAAACTCAGACATAGTAGAAAGGGGCTTATTATGGATAACAGAAGACATTCCTGTCACTGAGAAAATAACAAGGATTTTAGGAGCTCTGTGCCAGGAACCAGTCCAAAAACCGAATATATATATATTTTTATTATACTATAGTCTGTGATTGACTTGATGTCCAAATTAGAAAAAAAAAAAAGGTTTGCCTCTCTCTTGGGATCAAAGTCAGAATTTCATGAGCTTAATATTAAAGTACATTTAAAACATGCTACTTCGCTGGGTGTGGATAAGTCTGTTCCTTGCAGCAAAGCAAAGAGCGATGGGAAGCTGTGTAAACTGGAAGGAGCCAAACTTGGAATAGCCTGCCTGAGGGTGGCATGAAATACACTGGTGGGCCTAGAAAAGATGTTTAATCAATTAACTGTCTAGTCAGTTGAAAATAGAAATCCTTAAAGGAAAAGACCTTAAGTCAGGTTTCCTCAGACTCTAGGCCCCATGTTCTTTGTTGTGATAGACTGTCCTGTGCCTTGGGGCACGTTAGCATCATCCTGGCCTCCGCCCTCTAGATGCCAGTAGCACACCACCCTCTCCCACAGCTATGACAATCAAAAATGTCTCCAGACATTGCTAGTTACAAAATCTGGCAAAATCTTCCTCCAGTTGAGAACCAACTACAGTGAAGAGTATGCCTATAGAGTACCTGTAGAGTATGCCTATAGTTTTAAGTTCCTAAAAGTACTGTAGTTCCATCTTTTGGAAAAAAGTCAAGTCCTGATTCCAGGAATGTGTGGTATAGAACTGTGATTTCCATTGATTTACTTCCTGTCTGAATACTAAAGGGCCCCCTTTTATAATCATTATTATGCAGATGGTAGCGAAGGATCTAACCTGACTCACATGTCAAAGAACGGACTCTCAGTGTCAATGGCCTCGATGTTTTCAGGTAGTCTGTGTTGCAAGAGTGGGTGTGCTTATACATGCATGCGTGTGAATGTTTGCACTAGTCTTTGTACTTAGTTTATGTGACACCTGTGAAGGTTAGGAAACTACTGGGTCTGGAGAACTAGCTGGGCAAAACTGGACTTAAGCCAGCTAACACTTTAGCTGTTCATTTTCTTCTTCCTCGTATGATCCCAACACTCCTCCTCACTGAGATCGTCCTTTTTTACCTTTCCCTACAGTGATACTTATAGATGAAGTGGTTGTTATGGCTGATGGAGGTAGTAGACAGTTTAGAAGGGAATGGTCAGGTGAAGAAATTTTAGTTCAAATCTATAGCTGAGCTACTGCCACACATCCAGATAGCAAAAGTCAGATAGAATGGTATGAAACTTAGTGCCTCTTTAGAGTTTTGAATTTGCAGAACCAAAAGCTATCTCTTTTAGGTACTTTGCATGCAATTGGGATTTACTGCTACAGTGTTTGACTTTAGTAATTGTTTTGTGATCCAAATAGATAGGCCTTCTGTAGGTGGGGCTAACTGTAAGAAAGCAGTTTTCTACTCTAAGTGGCTTTGCAACACACAAACAACAAAACTCAAGACTTTTATTAAACAGTTAATTTTATCAGCAACTAGAATTTGAAATAATTATATAAAATTAGATCAAGATGTAGAGAAATAAAAGTAATTAGGTACCTTTTTCTCTATTTCTGAACTGTTACAGTTTATTCTGACATAGTCTTTCCTTGCTTGAGATGTAACTACCCTGCCACTTTTTAAATAGTTTCTATTGTGCTTACAACCACAGTCCTTTACTACTGCATTTATTCACTGTAAGCCACTTCTCCATCAGTCTGCTTGACCCATAAAGCTTACAATTATTTAACCTTCCTAGTGTTTTTCACCTATTTTGGGCATGTTAAAGCATTTTTTATACACCAAGAATATGAAACAATTTTCAATTAAAAAACTACTTTTAAAAAAATACTCTTTCTTGTGACCCACATCCCAACATATTGTGGGGCTTAGGGGGAAAGCAATCAGAACAAGCCTCTCACAAAGGTTTTACCTTCTTTTTATACATAGATTCCCAATTATGAAAGTATAATATACAATTCATCTTTCTCTGCTCTAGATTTCTTTATTGCTTTCTGTTTCTTTTCATCTGTTTCTGGCCTTTAATCAAGTTTATTACCAGTACCAAATTCTTTCTAAAAAGTGTCATACTTTTCATTAGCAATCTTTTTTATCACGATTAGAGGTTTACAGATCATGTGTAAAGGGTTCTCTCTCTCTCTCTCTCTTTATTTATTTATTTTTTTTGATTACCTTAAGTGATCTATTCTATTCAAGAATCTCTTGGGCCCTCGCTGGTGTGGCTCAGTGGATTGAGTGTGGGCCTGAAAACCAAAAGGTCACCAGTTCAATTCCCAGTGAGGGCACATGCCTGGGTTTCAGGCCAGGTTCCTAGTAGGTGTTGCACAAGAGGCAACCACACATTGATGTTTCTCTCCTTCTTTCTCCCTTCCCTTCTCTCTAAACATAAATAAATAAAATTTAATTTAATTTAAAAATGTATAATAATTTTAGTAAATTTACGAAGTTTGCAACCATTACCACAACCTAGTTTTAGAACATTTTCAACATCCCATAAGTGCCCATTTATACTTATTCTTGTTCCTATCTCAAGCCACAGCCCATTGCTAATCTATTTTCTATCTCTGTAGACTTGCCTTTTTTGGACATTCCATATTAATGGAATCATACAATAGTGACCTTTTGTGTCTAGCTTCTTTTACCTTATCTGTTTCTTCTGATGGTCTCTGCCAAACTGGTATGATATCATTCATAGGCTCCTGATTCCAGAAGTCTTTTCAACTTGTTTAATTTTAGCATTTCGTTGTTCTTTTTACCTCCACACCCCCTCTTTGACCTTTTGTATTACAGCTACATCAATCTTCCTTTGTACAATAGATTCTTCTAGAATTTCAGTCTTCTGCACATATGTATCTAGTGAGGGTCCAATCAAGGGACAGAAATCACACAGTAATTTGAATAGAGAAAGTTTACTATAAAAAATTATTAACTATAAAAGAACAGACTGACAGAGTTCAGAGGGGAGAGGAGAGGGAATTTCAGGGGAATTTCAGGGGAATTTCAGGGGAAAAGGAGAAGGGTTTACAGGAACAAATATAAAGGATACATGGATAAAAACTACGGGTGGGTGGAAATGGGAGGGAGGAGGGGAGGTCTGGGTGGGTGGCTTGGGATGGGAGTAAAAGATAGAAAATTGTACTGCAACAACAATTAAAATAAAATTTTTAAAAAAGGATAAAAGTAATGGGAAACTGGCTCATAAGGAGTAAAGAGATTGGTAAAGCATATAGAAATAGCAGATATAGGCAGCAGTCACTGTCCCTAGGGCTGAGATAGAGTACCTGGGCTAGGAAGAAATGCAGAAGAGGGCCACATCTCCAAGGCTGAGTTTCAGACCTCCTGGCTCACTGGATGGTACAGAAGTTCTCTGAAGCTGCAGAGCTGCTCTGAGGGAGTGCTAGGGGATGCTGTCCACAGGAGGTGCCATGCCAATGGCCCTCACCAGGAAAGCATTCTCTGGGTGCAGGAGGAGGCTTCCCCCAGAGAGGTGTCATGCCTCAAATCTCAAGGGGAGCCAGAAGTGGCACTTGCTATGATACTTCTCCAGGAGATGCCAGGGGAAGCTGTTTATGAGAAGTCGCAGTACCTCTGGTAGGCACTCTGCAGCAACGCCACCTAAAGGCATGCTTACCTTGGGGAAAGTCACTTGCGCTACTGAAGTCAGCCTAGAGGAGCAAATAACAACCAGCAAGAGAAACCCCTTCCTCCTTCAGCGTCCCTTCAGTGCCCTCTACTGACAAAGCCTACAATTGCACCAGCTAGCAAAAGATTAATGTTTACAAGTCCAAGTCCACTATCACAGAACAGACGATGAAAAAGACAGGTTTGGGCTGAAAAGGCAATAAATTGATAACTCGCACAGTGTATAAAGAGGGAGTTCATGAACTATATTTTCTGACAAGTTTTAAAATTATATCCTACTCAAAGCAATCAGTTACTTCTCCCTTCCCTTCCATTTTAAATAATGTGTTTCCCTTTTATAACAAGAATAATTGTAGTTCTTCATTTTGAAGTGTTTCCTCTTGAGTTAGCAGTTACATAAAATTCACTGGAGTTAAACTTCTAGATGTGTTAGGTATTGTCTTAACTGTTAGAAGCAAAGCAGGATGGAAACCAACATTAAACTGGCCAGTACATTCTGAAGTTGACTCTATTCCTACACCTTTGTTGTTTTTGCTAGAGTAACAAGGTTTAACCACTTCTTCACTGATCATTGCTATACCACTGTCTGGACATATAAAAGTTCTTCTTATAGCATGTCATTATTTTTGTTGTTGTTCGTTTTTATATTTTTGAACTCTTTATCCTATTAAAACATCAGAAGCATTTGAAATCATCCTTGTCAAAGAATTGATAAAAAGTTTCATAATTATGTTAACTTCCATTTGGAAGGCAAGCTTCTTAAACTTCTTTCTAAAGTGTTTTCATTTGGAGTACATTTAGTACATCCAGGTGAATAACTTCCTCCTCTTTCTTTACTCCCTAATTATCTTATATCCTTGTATCTTATACTTTTATCCAAATACTCGAGTAGCGTTTCAACCACATTAGCTTAATCATTTTCTTGAACGGACTTGAGAGTTAACAAGGTGCAGCAGAAGCCCAGTATCCACAAGGCCTTCATGATGCTTGACCAGTGTCAGGTGTCATGTCCCTTTTCATATGAGGCACTGCCTTTTCCTCTTCATTCCTGGGGAAACATCCTCACATTCAAACCCATGTGGTCTTCTGCACTCTTGGAAGTATTCATGATTAGCCAGAAAGTCATTGCACCTGTGGTAAAAAAGAAGACACACGATAAAGTATGATTTGACTATATTGAATATTTTCCAAAGAGGGGAGACTGATGTTTTTCTCTCAAAGAAAATAAGACTTTCTCTCTTTGAGGATGAATAATTGCTGAAGAGTTTTTATGAAGATGATGGTTTCCTTAGAAATCATGAACTATCATTCACCTCTCCTCTCTATGTGCAGTGTTTTTTTAATAGCCTGGCCTTAAAGTAACAACATTAGTTAGCTCTTTATTCAAGGATATCTGTCTAAGATTTTATCTCACTTTTCCTTATTTAATCACACTCTAACAAGCTAAAGTTTGCTGTTTGCCTTTAGCCAATTAATCATTTATTTGGGAAATGGTTTCTAAAAACCTATTATGTACAAACCACTCTGAGGATTATAAGGACAACACGAGATTTAAGTACAATCCAAAACAATGTAAGTGTTATTTGGATAAATGTCACAAACCAAATGGTCTGTGAAGGTTTACAATTGCCTAGAACTTTTTTCTTCTCTTTAGAATGGAATAGACCACTAGCAGTGTATTGGGGTGGGTTTTGGTGGTGCAAATTCAGATGGATAATTATATGTATGAACTTTTTTGTTAAATAAAATAAAATTTGTCATTAACTAGTCAAAAATGTTGCTGTGTTAAGTTTTTCTATGATTAGAGAGCATATGAAAGTTGACAGATTTCAATTTTGTTCTCTTGTGTACATAGCTTTGAAGATATTCATTTGTTAGGAATATTATTTGAATATATACTTGTATTCAGAGCCCAGAGTTAAGTATTTTAGGACCAAACAGAGGAATTAGACAATGATCTCAGTTCCTCACAAGATTTTTATCATCTAATGATACATACAAAAAAAAATAGAGACAGGAAATGTGAAGAACAATTCAGCTATTCATGGCCAAGTGCAAAGTGACATCATGCAAGCTCTTTGAGGGTCTTGAATGCAGTAGATTGATCATTGTGTAGGTTTAATTAGGAAAAGAAGGTCTTTTCACTGGCATCAAAGGAAATGAGGGACTAGATTAGTCTGAACAGTCTTGTTTTCATGACTTAAATAGGTTCTGTTTGCCTTTCTTGAACATGGCTGCTACATTTCACATTATTCCCCCCATCAAAGTTTTTGGGTAGATGAGGTCTCTGGAGGTTCAGACATATCATTATTAGAAATCCTCTTCAAAATCCTTTATCAGAAATATGCATTGAAAAGTCTGAGAGTGCTGTAGTAAAGACCATGTTGAATAGCTCTGTGAAAATATGTTGGTTATCAAGCATCTCCAGGAAGTTGCAAAGCTGTAGAGAAGTTCTTTTCTTTCCCATACCGCCGGACAGGGAGCAAATCTTTCCATGAAGCTTTTTTGTGGATATGGAAGACTTCTCTCATTCAGGGGTAATGGTAATAGTGTTCAAATGTTAGAAGCAAAGTTCCAATTCCACATATATTTAATGAGTAACTTCTATGATCCAAGTTTTGTTTTAGGTACTGATTCTGTTATTAAAAAAGGAGCTAGCTAGAGTTCTTGCTTCTAAGAGTTTATTATTTAAGAGGGTTTGAGATTTAGAAAATGAGGTAGAGAGTGGAATAATTTATTTTGTGTTTCTCCTTGGTAGAGGATGTGTCCCTGTGTGCCTTAGGATGCTTCCTTTTCTTTTTCACTGTTTGGCACCAAGTCTGAGTTTGTTACTCCACCTGGATTTGTAGCCACTTTGACCTTCTCAGTGCTATGCTTACTGTCACTAATTCGGCCTGGTTGTGATGTGAACAGAGCCAAACTATAAATTATGTGTAGAGCTTCACCTGGACTTTGCTCCTTATTCTGCATAGAATGTAGCACCCGGCTGCTACCCTGAGTGCTTAGCTGGCAATAGCTTGGAAAGGTTTCCATTATTATCCCTCACCATCTCTCTTTCCATTTCCTACTCCACTCACCTCTGATTTCCATTTAGATGAGGACATCAGAAGGAGCACAGCCTCAAACAACAAATCCTTGATTTCCTCCCAGACCTTGTAAGTACTTTTAAAACAATAAATAAAACCTTTGTTAATTTATAGTGTTCTTTAGATTTCATATGTAAGTGAAATCATATGGTATTTACCTTTCTCTGTCTGACTTATTTTACTTAGCATAATACCCTGTAGGTCCATCCATGCTGTTGCAAATGGTAAGATTATGTTCTTTTTAAAGGCCGAGTAATATTCCATTGCTTATGTGTACCACAACTTTTTATCCACTTGTCTGTTGATGGGTACTTGAATTGTTTCCATATCATGGCTATTGTGCATAATGCTACAGTGAACACAGGGTGCATATATCCTTTGGAATTAGTGTTTTGGGTTCTTCGGATATATACCCAGAAGTAGAATTGCTGGGTCTAATAAGCCCAAGCTGGCAGTTACAAAATAGTCAGGGGATGTAAAGTGCAGCACAGGGAATATAGTCAATGATATTATAATAATTATGTATGGTACCAGGTGGGTAATTGAAATATTGGGGGATCACTTTGTAAAGTATATGACTGTCTAATCACTATGATAAGCACCTGAAACTAATACAAAGTAATATTAAATGTAAACTGTAATTAAAAAATAAAAGCTTTGGGGTATGTGAAGAAACAAACCCATTTCTTAGCATATGGATGGGAATGACTGCAGATGCAGCCGTCCACACTCACAAAGAGGCGAGGTGAAAGCGATGGGCCTACCTGATGGTGTCCAGCCCAGGGGAAGAGAGCAGAAGATCATTGGTTCAAGGGCTGTTGTGGAGGCAAAGCTCACAGTGTGGATTGTTCCTTCTTTTCTGACTGATTATACCAGAGGCCCCCAGAAGAGCAGATCTCAAAACTGAGAAGAGCGATCATGATTTCTGACTAAGAAATCAAATCGAACAGGTTCTACATTATAGTTGCTCATTTGGGAGTAACAATACCCCTTGATAGTCCACAAAGCAGTTTTCACACTTTATTTTGTAAACACATGTTATGATCCCCATTTTGCGGTAAAGAAACTGGAGGTTACAGAAAGGAAGTGGTACAGAATTCTTAACTAGCAATGCCATACAATGCTAGTAAGTGGGATATGAGCCTAAGTCTTAGGACTGTAAGACCAGTATATTTGCCACTATATATGTGTGATGATGAGAAAAGAAACTTAGCAGACGGGGGGTACTGCAAGTGTTTTCTCAGCCAAGAAGTCACTGCATATGGTATCAGGCTCTGAAGGGAAGGCTCCCATCTTCCTGTCTTTTCTCTCTGTTCAACCTTCCTTGAATCTCTTTTTTCCAGTTCCCACTGCTTCCTGCACTCCACATCTGCTGAGGCAGTGGCCATGGGGCTCCTGAAGCAATTTGAAGGGATGCAGCTCCCAGCCGCCTCAGAGCTAGAGTGGCTCGTTCCAGAGCATGATGCCCCTCAGAAGGTAGATTCCTCAACCCTTTTTCTCCACCTCTGTCCAGCCCCAGAAGGTTGTGAGCCTTTTCGATACTGTCCTCTTTTGTCACATGTCCCCAGTCTAGAATGAGCCTATGTGTCTCCTTCCTTACTCACATAAGACATTCATTACGATTTGTTGAATGAACGAATGAATGCTTGCCTGGGTTTTCCCTAGCAATTGTAAAAACAGGAGATAATGGCTCCTTCACTGTCCTTATTCCATATAACTGCTCACTAGACCCAAAGGTGGAACTCCTGTGTGTGACCACCTTTGAGATACTGTGAGAAAGTGAATTATTCAGATTCTTCTTTGCTCTGTAGTTGAGTAAGGCATGAAGCACCGTGGAATACCAGGGTTCCTGGGGTGGGTTCTGGGACAGCATCAGCAATGGGTGCTACTACACTGGGATGCTGTTTCTGATCCTTTTGTTTCTTAAAACCAAGGACCTCACTTCTAGTAGACAGGTGCCTTACGGTTTCAAGGGCCAAGGTTCCCTGAATCCCTTACCTAATTTATGTATTCCTGAAATGTCTTTCATTGACTGCTTCTTTCATAACCAGAAGGTTCAAGCATGTGTGTTCCCCCAGACTGTTCATGTTAGATCACCCTGTGCTTTCTCCTGCAGCTCCTGCCCATCCCCGACTCACTACCCATCTCACCAGATGATGGGCAGCACGCTGACATCTACAAACTGCGTATTCGTGTTCGTGGCAACCTGGAGTGGGCCCCACCCCGGCCTCAGATAATTTTTAATGTTCATCCAGCCCCAACGTGAGTAGCCAGTGGCCATGCCTCTGAAAAACAGATACATTCTCTTTGGATTGTTAGAGCTGTCTCCTCATCCTCTTTTCTCTGTATCAACTGTATATCCCACACAATTCTGAGAGGCAGAAGGAGAGGATTGTCCATTTTGTCTGTAAGTCTTATTCTTAATCCTCCCACTCCTTCCCAGAGCTACATGGAAACGAGGTCTTTTATCATTGGCCTTTCTAAACCTGTTACCTTCCTTCCATTAGTTCTGTGAACTTACTGGTTTTTCTTCTCTTTTTAAGATGGGTGGATGATTGCTTTTCTTTTTTGTTGTTTTCTCTTTACTATTTCTCATCTCTCACATTTGTACAGAAAATATGGATCATTTTTGGGGAGAATCACTGCCTAGACCTAAATTCTGTCCTTATAATCCTTGTTTTGAATTGGTTCTCCCAATAGGTTCAGTTTGTCCAAATCTAAAAAATAGATGAATGCCCCTCTCTTCCCATCCTTAACAAGAGCCCTATGTGTGTATCCTCATCCTTCACATCTCAGAGGCCTCATACTGCTGGCGTCTGCCAATCCCCTCTCCTTCCCCTCTCCTCAGGAGGAAGGTTGCTGTGGCCAAGCAGAATTACCGCTGTGCAGGGTGTGGCATCCGGACTGACCCTGGTGCGTATCTTCCCTGACCCCGACACTGACTTCAAGGGCTTACCCTTTCACATGCTTGGGCAGGGGGCTGGCCAAAGAGAGTAGTAAGAGGAGGTGACAGACAGAATTGGGGAAAAGAATGGAAGGGGTCTGGAGGGGAAGGGATGAGAGTAGGCAAGAACACTGTCAATCTGAGAGTAATTATTTCTGGGGGCGCATCAGGACTGGGTATTTCGACTAGGTTCTTAGAGGCTGGATCTTACCAGTTCTGGCAGGGTTTGTTTCTGGAGTTGCCTCCAGGTGGTGCACAGAAATCACAGACCCCACTGTGTGGGTTTCTGCCAACTCTGGGAACTCAGAAAGAGCTGGCTAGAGCTCACTGGCTATCCCTTCCTGCTCTTTCAAAAGAAGCAGCACAGCCCCCTCACCAGCTAATAGATGGGAAAGCCACATCTGACCTTTTGACTTCCTGGTTTTTCCAGAGTATATCAAGCGTCTGCGGTACTGTGAGTACTTGGGCAAGTACTTCTGTCAGTGTTGCCATGAGAATGCCCAGATGGTTATCCCCAGCCGGGTTCTGCGCAAGTGGGACTTCAGCAAATACTATGTCAGCAATTTCTCCAAGGACCTGCTTATTAAGATCTGGAATGACCCTCTCTTCAATGTGCAGGACATCAACAGTGCCCTCTATAGGAAGGTCAAGCTACTCAATCAAGTTCGAGTAAGACCCTTGAAATGGTCCCATCATAGATTATCCTTCTCGTCCTCTCCCTGTGTTCATTCGTACAGGCTTTCCCGAGATTACCATGCTTCTCTTTGTCACTGTGTCAGAGCTGTAACCATCTCATCATTCATACTTTGTCTGTGTACTTTCTCTCGCCATTTCCAAGGTATCTGTCCAGTTAGCATTCGAAACCTGCCAAAGCAGCTCTGAAGCTGTAGGTAGCAGGCAGTGTCAAAAGCAGGCTTTCTCCCATTTCTGAAAATATTATGAGTGGAGAAGAGGGTATCAGGTGGGAAACTCAACTTCTGGGTTTCTTAGCTGCTCCTAGCTGTGTATGTGATTTGGGCAGACTGGCCCAGTAGAGGGGCTGACTGGAGTACATTTTGAAGTGAGTTGTTGAGTTACAGGTATAGAGAACAATCTGGCTTCCAGGTTTTAAAGGTTCTGGTCTGATGGTTGTTTCTCTTCTTCTCATACCCCTTCTTCCCCCACCTACCACCACAATGTCTCTCCTCAGCTGTTGCGGATCCAGCTGTATCACATGAAGAACATGTTCAAGACATGCCGATTGGCCAAAGAGTAAGTCCTTTGTGGGGGTCAGAGGCATCTGGCTGAGTTAATGTCTCTGGAAGGAGAAACATGTCCCAACAGTTGGCCCTTGTTATGTGAAGGAGGGTGGGGGGGGTGCTGCAGAAAATTCTAGAAATGGTAAATGAGAAGCAGTAACTATCTATATCCTTCCCTCTGGAAGGAGAAAGCTGTGGTGGTTCTATCCAGGCAGACCCACCACTCCTTGCAAGCTGGCGTGAATCACTCTGCAAAAGGCTATAACAGTCACTTCTGCCATCTAGACACCTGGTGGCGTGGGAGGGTTGGGTGGCCTGGAACACATGGCTTGGCTGAGTGTTGTCAGCTTTATTACCTCTGCCTGGGACCCTTCTCTTTCCTTATCCTGCTTCTGAATAGAAATCCTTCTACCCTGATGTGCGACACAAGGGTTCATTCTCTGCTCCCACCCACTTCCCTTCTTCTTCTGTAGCCTTCTGGATTCCTTTGACGTAGTTCCAGGCCACTTGACAGAAGATCTCCACCTGTACTCATTGAATGACCTGACTGCAACCAGGAAGGGGGAGCTGGGGCCCCGGCTTGCTGAGCTCACCAGGGCAGGGGCTGCCCACGTGGAGCGATGCATGGTAAGAAAGCCTTGCTTTAGTAGGCAACTGGGCCCTTGCTTAGGGATGTAGGTTGTGGAGTGGACCCAGGATTCTTGCCATTTAGTTCTAGGAAGTTGAAATGGCTTGTCAACACTGTGAGAGGAACTGGATAGGATTGTTGTTCCCTGGGTTAGTGAACAGCTCAGTCAACCAGATCAAAAAAATCTAGAATTAGAAGAGGATTTGGTGCTGGCATCGTCCCTGGGTAACTGGGCAGTTATAAGTAGACCTTCAGTAAAGAGCTGTCATGATGTAGGGGGAGAACCTGGATTAATACCTGGAGAGGGCCTGGGTCTCAACTTTATCATTTTCAGTCACTGTGACCAAAGGACATACTTTGCCTTCTCTGTGGTGAGCCTCAATTTTTTTGTCTCTAAAAATGAAGTACATGATTGCTATGTACTGTCCTTTCCTCTCAGTGTTTTTGAGAATTGATGAAATAATTTATGTGAAAGCATTTTGTAAGCTCTAATTGTTCTGTAGATTCAAATTATTGTTCTTGATATACCCAACATGCCAGAAATTTAGAAATTTTATTTTTAGGATTTCCCATTTTAGAGTATTCCCAGTTTGTGTTCCTGTTATAGTTCCAGAATTAGATCTTAAAATGTAACAGGCAATTTGAAAGACGTAGCTATAATGTGACTCAAGGCTGGGTGTCATTTTGGAGAAATTTTCTTGCCTTCACATATTGCCTTAATTGGCTGTGGTTCCTATTTCAAAATCAAATCATTACCCAGACTGGAATTTTGACTTTAGGAAGCCTTTTGGGCACTGTTCTTTTCTTCTTTTTATCTCTTCATTGAGAGTCACTCTCATGGTCGGAGTTTCTCAAACTCATGCCTCTCATCTCCACCCTAAAGCTTTGTCTGACACTGCACAGCCTGGCCCTGGTTGGGCTGTCATACTTCTAAGTCTAGCCCGGGTCTCTTTTCTGAAAGCGGGAGAATACCTTAGAGCCCATTTAAGTCTCATTTATATTTTGCACCTCCCTTCACTTTTGTTCACCTTCTTGTGCCAGTTCCTGGTGTGCTGTCCCTCATTTTGTGGCCTGTCCCTTTTCCCTAGCTCTGCCAAGCCAAGGGCTTCATCTGTGAGTTCTGTCAGAATGAGGATGACATCATCTTCCCTTTTGAGCTCCATAAGTGCCGGACCTGTGAAGGTGAGAGCTGGTGCCGGGTGTGGAGTGGGGCAAATAAGACTGAACACAAGGCTAATTTACTCCCCTTCAATCACTTAATGAGTGATCTCTTAATAAGAGTTTGGCTTGATTCAGCAACTCCCCATGTTTCACCACAGGCACCCTGGGCCACCATAGTGAAAAGGGACTGTAGCAGCAACTTCCTGCCTGAGATAATACAAATTGTGCTCTTCTCTCTCACCTTCCCATCCTGAACAGAATGTAAAGCATGTTACCATAAAGCTTGTTTCAAGTCTGGAAGCTGTCCCCGGTGTGAGCGGCTCCAGGCCCGGCGGGAGTTGCTGGCCAAGCAGAGCCTGGAGTCCTTCGTGTCGGACTGTGAGGAGGAACCCACTGAAGCTCTGGCCCTAGAGGCTGCTGTCCTGGAGACCACCTGAAAAAAGCACGTTATACCCTTTCTCTAGGGGTTAGGGTCACAAAATGCAGAGCTGAGCCGCCCGTATAAGGACTTGCCCATATAAGGACTTGTTTTTTTATTGTTATTATTTTTTGTTCATGATTTGTCTAATGTCCATATGTAGCCAACTTTTGTTCAGTTGGTGGGGTCCAGTCTGTTGCGACAATTTGCAGGTAGGCATTTCCATTAGAACTGACACATGGTCCTTCTAGTGCCTCTGTTAAGGGAATGGACAGTGAGACCCAATTCTTCTGACATCCTTGGCCTACTTCACTTAGACCAGAACTGGTTTCTGCTGCATCTCAAGTATCATTCCCAGTTTTATTTTGTTTTAGTTCTGGAGCTTCTGAGCCAAGCCTGTCTCAAACTACTCACTTCTCCTTTGCTGCTGAAACAGGAGGATGGAGCTTTCTCTCTCCCAGTCCTGAAATTGGGTCAGACTGTGCCCTAAGGAGAAGCAGCAGAGAATGGGACTACATTGTAGACATTCTGTCCAGCTTAGGTGTTTTTGAGACCATAAAGACAGCATTATTACTACCCTGGAATCCACAGAGACCTCAAAGAGGCAGCCACGACTTTCTTGTTTGAAATATTCTAGGCATGGATGATGTGACGCCTGACTTTCTTACCCCGGCACACTTGAAGCAAAGAGCAGAAGTAATACTTAGGCCAGGCCCATGTATAGCCTCACACCAAGCATCAGCGAGGCTACAGCTCTGTTGCTTAAGGAGAATATATTCAGTCACAGGAGCTGTTGGTCTCCTCTTAGGTGATAAGGTCCCTAATCTGGTGTAGGTCTGATGCCATCCTCAACTGAGGACAGAAACCCCATCAACCACTGTATTTGTGGGTCTCTTGCCACTGTGTCCTCTGCTAGATAGTCGTTGTGATTCTGAGTAAAAGTATGGCCCAACTCCATTCTCTCTTTCCCCTTCCTGTAACAGAGCTGGGACCTTCCCTGGTGGCTGATTTCTTGCCTTAGTTTTTTTGTCAAAGTTGGAGTAAAAACTTCTTGCTATTAGTGGTATTAGAGAACTTGACGATTTATAGATGTGAGTGTGAATGTATTCTTAGGATAACAAGAGCCTTTACGCCAGTTATGCACTGAACTCTTTAGCCTGATGAAGTCATATGTTCATTCATTCTTTTCACATTATTAATTTTAACACACATTTTTAATGTGTCATGTATGGGAAAAGTTTTTGATGGGACCGTGTATATGCTTGTGGTGTTCTTTAAGTTGCTGTAGCTTCTGACAGGTATATAAAACACTACCTGTATGTAAAATACAGCAACTTAAAGAACCTGCTCTGAGGACTGGCAGCTCTATGAACTAAAACCCACATTTTTGTTCTGGGACTGCATCCTGTGTACCTCTCTTTCCATACTTGCTTACTAGTAGAAAAAACTTGGCCTGTGTGCTGCCCTAGGAAGCTAAACAGAAAGTTGCACATGGTTGGTGGAAGCTGATTAAGTGCCTGAGCTGGAGGCAGGCAGGAGTCACACAGGAAGTAGAAGGGGCAGTAAGGTAACAGTCAGGTGTGAGGCTCCACCAGGGCAGGAGGGAGTAGGGAGGAACTGACTACTGGCATTGGTCCTTCTGCCTCAGACTTAGGATTTGAAGGCTGCATCAGGCTGGAAAACCCTGAGATTGTTCTCCTTTCAGTTCTTGGGGGAATTTCTAAAAGCCAAGACCTCCAGCCTAGCCCTGTTTTGAAGGCCTGACCAGCAGTTTCCTTGTCCTTCAAGGACCTTGGGAATGATCCCATAAACCTCAAGGCTCACCAAGCCCAAGATTCTGATTCAGAGATGTGTAAAAATGGTGAGCTCTACTTCCAGTTTCGGTTGAAATGACAAATCCAGTTCCTTACTTCAAGTCACTACACTGGAGGAGAGACATCTTCTCATTATTGTCCCTCCTGTTTCACATTAGCTTAGGATCAAAGGATGGAAAATGCTGACACAGTTTCTAAAGCTGAGCTCTACAATCTTACGTGCTCCTGGTTTTTCACTTATGTTTCTTCACCTCCCCCACCCCATCCCTTCAGGTTGCATATCTGTTTTAGTGACCCTGACACTCTGCTGTCATCACTGTCCAAATACCCATTTATTTATTTATTTGAGAGTAGGGGGAGAGAGGATTGGGGGTGGGATATTTTGAAAGCACTTTGCAACTTAACAGTACCTGAAAACCCCTGCTGTTGTGGGGAGAAGCGTTGAATGCACTGAAGAGAGTTGCTTCTGACTGAATGCGGGAGAGCGTGTTCTTTTCTATAAATAAAGGGGAAGTTTTTTGCTTATAAGGTGGAGACAAGATTCAAGACATAGTGGAAGAGTGGAAGGCAAATATTTTCTACTTGAATGAGGCTGTAATTGACTTTCTCTGCTAAGGCTTTAGAGCTTTACATTAAATTAACATAAAAGGAACAAGAGTCTAAATTGAGATGGTCTATGTGTATACAACTCATGTTCTGAACTGGATTCCTACTTAATGTAATTCATACACACATAACAGCTCATCGTAATCTTTAATAAACTAAGGAAATGAAATTCTGCCTTTTAGTTGCCTGCCTTGACTTACCAGAAAATGGTATTGAGCATCCACTGTAAAGAAGGCATGTCTGAAAATTCAGGAGTTTTCTGTGTTATAATGCTAAGAAAACTGGATCTTGCAAGTTAGGAAAAGTAGGTTGGAATGCCTTGTCACTGACTTGCAGTGTGACTTTGAGCAGATCACTTCACCTCTCTGGATTTCTATTTCTCTGTATAAAAGGCTTTGTGGCACATAGTCCTTTTCCAGGACACAAGTGTGCCCCCATCCGGCCCCTTGCTGTAATGATCACTTAAGGTGAGGTCCATCTTCCTCTCATTATTGTCCTCTCCACAACATCTGAATTGTCTTAGGTGCTTTAGTCCCCACTTCTGTGAATGATGGGCTCTGAATTTCTCTCTTGTGGCCCACTGGAACTCCAGGTCCACCATGCAACTTTCTACACATGTCCCCTTCTAAGACTTTATTCATCCAACTGATATATCCAACTGATATATCTAAACCAACATAAATATCCTATTTCCCCAAATCTAACTATTAGTGACCCCAGTTTGAAAATGTAGTTGTCTTTGACTCCTTCTCTGAGTCAGGTTGCATGTTCAGCTAGTAAAGTATTATCTCCTTCCCACTACCTGTCATTCTGTTGATTTTCCTCTTTAAATTAACCCCATCTCATTCCTTTCGTACTGCTAGCACACAAATCAGGTTCTTATCTTACATCTCAACCAACTCTGTTCACGCTAGTCTTGTCCTATTTAATCATCCACCAAATATTTGGAAATCTATTGTATTCTGGTTTCTGTGTTAGGCTCCTGGGCTACAGAAGGGGACAAAATGGAGACAGTTCTTACCCTTAAGATGCTAAGAGTCTTGTGGGGGAGACAGACTCTGCCCAAAGGTTGCCAAAATGAGTATGTGATTACAAGCTGTAATAAGTGCTATGAAGGAAAAGTGTAAATACTATTTAAAAATAAACCACAAGGGGGACTAATTTAGATGGGAAAAAAGTAAGTTTCCTGAGAAAGCGATACTTCAACCAAGACCCAAAGAATGAGGCTCAAGATGGGGAGAAAAGGGCTCCAGACCTGGACTAGCACATGTCAGGATCCCAAGACAGGAAGAGTTTGGGCAAGGAACTACAAGGACTTACTAAATGTTTTAGAGTTTATCCTAAACATTGGAAAGCCGTGGAAGAGTTTTAATCAGAGGAGTAGCTGCTCTGGTTAAAATGTCAGTGTCCGCTTTGCAGAGAATAAGTAGAGTAAAGCAAGAGTAGAAGCAGTGGGATATCTCCTAGGGAGAGGGCTGCGGTCGTTCAGGAAAGACAGCGGACTAGGGTGTGGCTTACCATCGCCATTCACTGACACCTCATTACCCAAAAACCTCTAAAAACAAGGTAAATTCCAAAGCTTCTGCTCTGACATTTTAAAGCAAGGAACAAAAGACCAGAGGGAAGATATTGGGAAAATACTGGCATAAATTATAGAATCCAAGGAAAATGAACAACTAGGTCTCAAACCATACAAAGGTATACAGTGAGACCAGGTTTCATTCTGGGAACTTTAGCTGCAGGACTTGCAGACCTTCTCTGGAGTCAACTGCCAGCAAAGTATGCCAGAGGAGAGAGTTATGGGGACTCACCCCTGAACACAAGAGTCACACCCCAAAGAAAGGGGAACTGTGAGCTGGCCAGTCATCCTTTGTGGCACTGATGTTATTCATCACTCTGTGGCCCCAAGTGCATGTGGGTTTACTATGCCCTCCAATGGTAAAGAGTAGGCATAATCTTTACAGAATGCTGGTTTAAGTGAGGCCCATCCCTGCTTCATTTTTCCTTTGAACTTTTGGTTAGAGTATGGGAGAAAGGGGTCACTCTGCCCACCATATCCTGGCTTTTCTGCTCTCATCAACTACAGTCCTCTCCCATATCCAATCTCTAGGTCAGGGGTGTCAAACTCATTTTTACCAGGGGCCACATCAGCCTGGTGGTTGCCTTCAAGGGGCTGAATATAATTTTAGGACTGTATAAATGTAACTACTTAATAGTTAAGCCAGAGCTTGGTGCTGCCACCGGGTAGAAACAAGGTGCCGGGCCGCATAAAACAAGGTGGAGGGCCGGATTTGGCCTGTGGGCCTTGTGTTTACCACCTGTGCTCTAGGGTATCAAACTGCTTGTTTTAAAAATTTTAGTGATAGTGGCTGCCAGATGGCCCAGACTTTCCTGTTGTGAGCCTTATGTTCTTGGGATCAAAGAGGAATGTGATTGAAAAGGAAGGAGGATCTGCCTAGCACTACTCTCCTAAAAGCGTGGAGAACATGGTGTGCTTTGCATACACACTTGCCACTCTCAGTTCTGTGAACTGTTTCTGGAGGAGGAACTGAAAACCCAAAGAGCTGTGCTCTGGCTTTGAAGGTACACTCACCAGCCAGGTGAGAATAAACCTTGAGTGGTGGAAGGTTCTTAGGATATAGGTAGGAGTTTTGGTGACCAGCCCTCTGAGAGTCTACAGCAGACCAGTTAGACACAAGTCTGGAACAGCAGCGCAGCTTGCATGACCTATAACCTTTAGGCAAGGAGCCCTAGGTACAGTAAGTCCTTTCTTTCTGTCAAAACCCTGGAATTTCTCACCTGTTTTCTTTTCAAACAGTGACGTCTGTAGTTCCCAAATCATTTTCTCTCCTCGCTGGCCCACTGCCAGCCTCTCATCTTCTCCCCCAAGCTTCCACAGCAAGCACAACTACTTTAGCACTAGCAATAGTGAGGGGAAACGAAGTAACCCCTCACCTTTCTCTCCTCTGCTCCTCCCCTCCAGCTTTTTTTTTTTTTTACTTAGAATTGAAAGAAATCAACCTAGATGCCAACAATGGGTCTCTACACAAAGGACTAAAATAAGTTTTGAATAAGTTTTGTGTATTTGTGCCCTTACCACTGGGAGCCCCTAACCACAAATTAACTAGAGGACAGTCCTGACAAAGGGAAAAGCGGGAAATGAGGTCTGCAGAGGGAAAGGGGATGAAAGAGCTTTCTCTTTCTCTCTCTGACTCTGTCTCTCATTTATTTAATAATATTTAAACTTAATATTCTAATATACTTACATGCTTACAATCCATACAAAGACATACAGTGAAAAGTCTCCCTTGCATTTCTATAGCCACGTGCCCAGTTTCTGTTTTGCCCCCTTTGGTAGCCACTCATTACTTTTCTGCTTATCTTTAGAGTTTCTTTATGCAAATATAAGCAATTGTATTTTATATATATAGTGAGAAAATATATATATATATTCTTATTCTTATTCTTTTCCATTCTTTTTTTAAGGGTTTTAAAATTTTCTTTTTAATTATTGGTTGATTTTAGAGAGAGCAGAAGGTGGGGGAGAGAGAAAGAGAGAGAGAGCAAAACATTGACTTGTTGTTTCATCTATCTATCATGTGCCCTGACCGGAAATTGATCCCACAAACTTAGTGTACTGGGACAATGCTCTAACCAACCTGGTTAGGTAGAGCAAGGGTGCTCTTTTTAAATTGAATTTATTGGGGAGATGTTGGTTCACAAAATCACACAGGTTTCAAGTATATACAACCCAGCAAAATATCATCTGCGCACTTCATGGTGCACTCATCACCTCAAGTAAAGTCTCTTTCCCCCCCATTTTTCCCCCTTTGCTCACCTTCACCTACCTCCCACCCCTTTCACTCTGGCTGTCACCACACTGTTGTCTGTGTCTATGTGTTAGATATAAATTTTTTTGGCTTGATACCTTCACCTTTCATCCAATTCCCCAGCCCCTCTCCTCTCTAACAGATGTCAGTCTATTCCATGTATCAGTGCTTCTGTTTGTATTTTGTTCATCAGTTTATTTTGTTCATTAGATTCCACATATAAGGTAGATCATATGGAATTTGTGTTTCTCTGACTGTCTTATTTCACTTACCCTTCTTTAAAAATTAGCATGCTATTTATACATTTCTTAATGTTGCTTTTTCTGTTTTTCTTTTTTTGCTAACAGTCTTAGAGAAATTTCTATATCATCTATGAAAAGTTACCTTATTCTTTTTAATAGCTGCATATTTTTTATTGAATGGATGGATTATAATTTGTTCAACCAGTTATATATTGATGGATATTTAAGTTGTTTCCAGTCTTTTATTATTACAAACAGTGCGGCAATGAAAAACCTATTCATATATCATTTCACACAGGTGCAAGTATATCTGTAGGATAAATTTTCCAAAGTAGAATGACTGGCACAAAATGTACGTGCATTTTCAGTTTGCATAAGTATTTCCAAATTGCCCTTCAGAGTGAGGATAAAGAGATTGGAGCAGTAGGAAGGAGAAAAAAACATTACAGTGGGATCACACTCCCTTGCCTAAAACCAGTATTTTTCTCCCCCATATGATAATGTTTGGTCCCTTTCCCTGGCACATAAGGAATCTTCAGAGACTTCCAGTCAAGATGGCAGCATAGATAAACACAGCTTGCCTCATTGCACAAGCACATCAAAATTACAACTAAATTTTAGAGCAGTCATCACTCAGAACCATCAAATATCAAGTTGAGTAGAGTCTGACAACTACAGAATTAAGGAAACCACATCCATCCAGGCTGGTAGGAGCGGGGAGATGTGAAACAGGCTGGACCCACATCCATATGGGGGGATAAAAATTTGGGAGGGACATCTCAGGAGTGAGGAGTTCAAGCCTGACACCAGGCCACCCAGCCCAGCATTCCGGTGCCAGGAAGATAAGTCCTCATAACTTTTGGCTGCAAAAAACTGGGGATTGAGTCAGTGGAAGAAACTTCTGGAGTCCCATGCAGTTCCTCTTAAAGAACTAACACACACTTACTCAGACTCACTCCCTCTGAGCTCCAGCGCAAGCAGCTTGAAAGGTGCCAGTGGCACACTGGGAGAAACTGGAATGTCTGGCATCAAGGTGAGGGCTTGGGGACAGCTTTCTCGCAGACAGAAAAGTGGGCAGAGCCCATTGTCCCTTTTCT